GGAGAGCTCTGGGAGTTCATTCACGTTCTGAAAGCAGGGAGAGGCAGGAAACTGAGAAGGGGGGACGGGCTATTGGTAAAATCATGGCTGGTGGCACAGACTTGCATGTGTATAGAATGGGCTGGGGTGGAGGAAGAAGCCTTTGGGCTTCGTTGTTTTGCAGAGTATAAGAAGACTCTGATATTCCAAGTCTCCCTTTCTCCTTCCCCAGACATGCTCCCAGCCTCATGAAGATGATTACCAGCCCCAACGCCGTAGGAAATCATTGCTGAGAAGGTAATTACTCCCTGCCCATGCCACTGCTGTGCCACCAACAGTCTTTACCCTGAAGAGTAACTCATCCCCAGACCCCCCAGCCATGCGAGAGCTGCTGCCAAAGACTCCCCTGCCTGTGTTTAAAACATGTGAATGGTTTCACACTCCAACTCAGTGCTGTAAATGTCCCTTCCCAACTCCTCCAGTGGCTGCTCCCCCGACAGGGCAGGGTACACACATCTCCCTGGGGATCGGGAACAGGGAAGTGGGAATAGCGAAGTGGGATGCCATAGGACCCCCATTGCTTTTCCCTGGGGACCTGGGAACACCACAGCGGGAACAGGGAGGTGGGATGCCTTAGGACCCTGATAGCTTCTCCCTGGGGACCTGGAAAGAGGGGGGTGGGATGCCCTTGGACCTCCAAAGCTTCTCCTCAGGGAATAGCAACAGGTGATCCAGGAAGCCCCAGGTGTCCTGAGAAGCCGCTGCCGTGCAGGCTCCGGAGCGCGCAGCCTTCCCAGGGCTGCAGTGTCCAGGGGGTCGGCACGTGTGGCAGGGTCCCCTCCCCGCAGTCCCTTTTGTCTTTCTCTGACAGCTATTTTGTCTTCCCCTGTTCAGAATGCTTTCCCAATAAATCTGGTTTTCTGCAGTGACAGTGTCCTGTGAGATGGGGGAAGCATCTGTGTGTGGGGGCCTGTTTTGGTGTGTGTGAGGGAGGCTGTGCTCGTGTGTCCAGTGCCAGGCAATGGACTGTGGTTGGAACTGGCAAGCACTGAAGCCCTGGGCTGGAGCTGGTGGGTTAAACCCCACTGATGAAGACTCCGTCCATTGTTGGACACCACAATGTGATGGAGGTAGCTCCATCTCCAAGGGAGAACTACATAAGAACAATAAAGAGCGCAGGAAGAGAGGCAAGATTGGGTTGGACAAAATCTGCTCTTCTACCAGGTGTTGGGCCCTGTGATAGCCCAGGGAGAGCCCACAGGCAGAGACAGCAAAGCTGAGCTGGGTCTAAACAGGAACCTGGATTTTCTGTCTGACCCACTGGTTGACAACGGCCCCGCTGCAATTATCAGGGTAGAGGCCAGGGCTGAAGGAGAGCCTTACTCTCGAGGTGGGCTCTTTCCCCTCTTCCCTGACACCATGGAGAAACCCTGGAAGCAAGAAGAGAAAGGGTCCAGGCTCCTCAACAAACCAGGTAGCCCTGAGGGCCCAGATATTTTGCCACTTGCAGAAGAGGTCTTTGAAGTCATGGGCTGCCATCATCTGGTGCCAGATGAAGGCCCGCAGATAGATAGTCATGACCCAGGCAGAAGAAGCCCAGAGGACGGACTGCAGCCTGCCCGGGCTGCAGCTATGCTGTGCCAAGATGGTCTCCAACATTTGAGCTGCTTCTAACTCAGCGGCTTCGAAGCGCTGCCCGAGCCGGCCCGGCCCGGCCCGTTCGCCCGCGCTTTTGCTCTGAGGGCGTGGGGGGGGGGCGGCTCCCGGTGCCGCCGCGCTGAGGCGGAGCTGCCCCTGAGGCGGAGCTGCCCCTGAGGCCGCGGCGCCTGAGTTGGCGCTGGTGTGTGTCGGGGTTTTGGTGTTTTGCCGGGGTTCGCAAAGCTGCCCTCGTTGTCTCTGGGACGGGGGTCGCTGCCGGTGCCGCCGCGCTGAGGCGGAGCTGCCGCTCGCTCGTCAGGGGCTCAAGGCTCCCCGCGCTGGGCCGGCGGAGCGGCGGGGCTGGGGCTCCCCCCGCGTCTCTGCCCGCGAGAGGTCCCGTGGAACGCACGGTCCTTCAGGGCAATGGGGAATGGAAGGAGCAAGGCTCTCTCCCCTGCTGATCTTGTCTGCTTTTGTCCCAGGAGACACCGGAGCCCGTGGATGACACAATCACATTGGTGGTTGTGGCGTGGGGGTGTAGAAATGAAGCTGCAAGACTTCTTGGGGAATGAAGAATTGAGCTTTTTATTAACGAGGGAAATGAACTTAACTGAAATGATTACTGAACTGAACAAAATCTCCCAGACTAACACGGCTCCTGCCTTACACTGAGTAGGGCAGAGAAGGTTCTGGAACACAAGGCAGAGCATGCAAATGATGACCATAAAGGGAAAGCATAACCATGCATGGCATTGCACCGAAATTCAACTAATAGAAACACAGGGTTTCCATACATAAGAAATGAAGCATAATACATGAAAAGGTAATATAACACACAATAAATAAGACACAGAATTCCCAATTTCTCACTCCCAATAGGATTTGACAAAATCTGCTTTTCTACCAGGAATTGGGCCCTGTGAAAGCCCAGGGAGAGCCCACAGGCAGAGACACCAAAGCTCACATCCCAACCAGCCCTTCTCTGTGCCAGTGATGCTCCCCCTGGATGACCTGGATGAGCTTGGCCAGTCAGTGCCATCCCTTCTGGGGACCCCAGTCTTCCTTAGGCTGTCCTGAAGTGCCCCCTGAGCAGGGAGAGGTGCTGGCCCTGCTGCTGCTCTCCCTCCCAAACCTGCCTGCTTCTTGTCCTTTTTTTCCTATTGTGATGGTTCTGGCAGGAAAAACGGGTCTGCAGACTTTGTAGCTGAGAACAAAATGGCCCTTCATTTAACGTGGCTCCTGCCTTCAAAAGGGCAAGGAGAGAACCGACTAGAAAAGGGGTGTAACAAGGGGAGGAGCGTGGGCAGAACATGCAAAACTGAGAGAGGGTAAACCCACATGGGGAGAATACTGCAATGCAGCAAAACCGGACCAATCAGAGAACAGGGTTCAAGGGTACAAGGAGTAAAAGGAGTTTCATAGGAATGTGGGGTACATTAAACAAGTACAACATAGTAAACCACGAAAGAAAATACTAAAACTGCAGCAACAAGATTAAAACAGTATATCGATCCTTAAAGAGAGCTTTTGTATTCACAAGATACTTCAAGCTCTTGATTTCTTCTGCAGTCTTCATAACTGTCATGGTTTTCACCTCCAACCCTCTTGTTTTCAGTTTCTTTGTAATTCTGTGATGGAGGTGGAGGAAAAACAAGTACAAGAAATTAGAGGATGTAGAGGTGGTAAGGGCAGGGAGCAGGTGCCAGTGCTGTCTGTCTGTCTGCACTGCCTGCTCATCCTCACCTCTCCCAATGCTTCTCCTCCATGACACTTTCCAGGACTTTCCTGAGCTCAGTGAGGATGATTTGCTGTTGGCTCAGTACATCATGGATGTCCTTGATGCAGAGGAAGAAGAATCCCAGAAGGAGAGACAACAGGGGAAGACAGATGCCTTCAAGGCAGAGAGAGGATGTGAAGATCCTGCCCTGCCTCCAGGAAGAAACCTTAAAAGGACTTGTCTCTCCTATTCCAGGTGCGCTCTTGGCCGGTACTTCTCACAGCTCCTTGAAATCACTAGCAAAATGGGTCTATAAAAACAAAGACACTGTCCCAAAATACTTGAGTTATCTAGAATGGGTCAAAATAGGAGCTTCACTGACAAATGCTATTCCAGAAGGAAACAAACAAGAAGTCGAAACCGTAATTGCTTGGAGATCAATTTTTAAAATTTTAAAAAAGACTGTAGATCAAAGAGCGAAAAGCAGCCGAAGTGCAGGAATGGCGTCGGGACTAGTTCAGAACAAAAAAATTAAATAAATAATTGCTGCACCACCGCAGCCAGAGCGCCAAAATAGTGGTAGAATCCACAAAACCTGCCATTTGCAAAACAACACTTGAGGCCCTTTCCAAAATTGCGACCTCTCAAGCCCTT